TGTATAAAATGCATACAAAGTACAATGCATACATTGTATGAAATGCATAAAATGCTTTTTATAAAAACAATCAGATGACATTTTCCCTTTAAAAATTGTAAGCAGGCTGGGCGTGGTGGCTCATACCTGTAATCCCAGCATTTTGGGAGGCTGAGGTGGGGGCGGGTCACTTGAGGTTAGGAGTTCTAGACCAGCCTGGCCAACATGATGAAACCCCCTCTCTACTAAAAATACAAAAATTTGCCTGGCATGGTGGTGGATGCCTGTAATCCCAGCTACTCTGGAGGCTGAGGAGAATTGCTTGAACCCTGGAGGCACAGATTGCAGTGAGCCGAGGTCATGCCCCTATACTCCAACCTGAGAGACACAGCAAGACTCTGTCTCAAAAAACAATAATAATTACACATAAATTAAGTAAATATTATAAGCAGTATACCAAGATGTTAACAGTGGTTCCTTTTGAGTGATGAGAAAATGGACAATAGTAATTTATTTTTTACTTTTGTCCAGGTTTTTAATTTGCAACATAAAAAATGAGGTATTAATGAATTACTTGTTCACCAGTCTACTAATCATGAATTTAGCACACATTAAACATATGTACTTTATTAATATGTATTTTTTCATAAAGTTATCCTAGTAAATAAAACGGGTAATAAAGAATGCAAATATCTCAACTTCTACAATGTTCAAAGGGAAAGTGCCAAACTTGCATGTCTTAGTAGGATCCCTAAGATAGCAATTAATGAATGATGTGGGGAATGTGGGAAATGTATTCTTGGATATACCTTTTATCTCATTATTGTTTATTACTCGATTCTATGAAATAACCTCTATTTTATGTACTATGGCACATTTACAATATACAGCATCTGAATAAAATTATATAACTGGTTATGCTGAACTAGCAGTTTAGATACTATAAAGTAACTCGTCTTGTTACCTCATAAACCATAAACCACATTAGTATCTGAGAAATTAAAAAGATTTCTAAAATGTCCCACTTCAGGTATAGAATTTTACAAGATTTAGGGGGACATTATCACATCATTTCTTACATTAAAATAACAACAATAACAATAGAAGGCTAAACCAAAAACCTAAAAAGAAATGGTTACTAGACATAAGAGAGTAGAGAGATAGGGACTGAAGGTACACTTCTTTGAATACATAATGTTTTTTGTTTGTTTGTTTGTTCTTTGAGATGGGGTCTAACTCTGTTGCCCAGGCTGAAGTGCAATGGCACAATCTTGGCTCACTGCAACCTCCACTTCTCGCGTTCAAGCAATTAACCTGCCTCAGCCTCCCAAGTAGCTGGGATAACAGGCACCCACCATCATGCCCAGCTAATTTTTGTATTTTTAGTAGAGACGGGGTTTCACTGTGTTGGCCAGGCTGGTCTCGAACTCAACACCTTGTGATCCACCCGCCCCAGCCTCTCAAAGTGCTGGGATTACAAGCATGAGCCACCATGCCCAGCCACATAATGTTTTTTAATATTTGACTTTAGAACCATGTATTTTACATAATTCTAAACTTACATTTAAAAAGTGATCCCTATAACTTGAGCAAAATGAGAAAATGAATCTACCTGTGTAAGAGTTGGTAGCATAACCATACAAAGAACTTTTAAAGAGACTTTATAACTCAGTAGTATGACGAACATACCTAGTGTGATATGCCCTAAAGATTAAAAAAGAACAAAACTGCGAACAAAAACTCTTAATCTGTTTCTAGTAATGATATTGTTGATAATACCGGCATTGTGTATTGGGATAAAGCTAATGAATAATCATGTTGATGTCATTTGGGGTATGTCATTTGGAAAAAGAGATGCAATATAGATCAGGTTAATTTAAAACTCTGTGAGATCCTGATTTGAAAAGAAAGTCGGTATGCATTCATGATTATAGATACACACACACACACACACACACACACACACACACACACACACACTTTTCTCAGCTCTGTCCGCTGAAATGGTCTTGAAGCAATGAAGAACTCACTAACAATGTGTAACAATAAAGCCCAGTTTATGATCTCTAATGGTCATTTTCAATTCTAAAATTAGGGCCCCTTAAAGGCAGATTTCAGGTCAGAAGCAAAACGTATATAACTTCAACCTGAAACATTTTGTCATATCAAAAACAAGAAAAAGTCATAAAAGCCTATTGGCATAAAGTCTCAGGAGTCACTTTGAAGAGTCACCTGCTGGCCAATAATAGGTCTGAACTTCAATTAGAAGAATGTCTGCCATGGATTGAAATATAGTTGGCCCCCTGTATCCATGGGTTCTACATCCGTAGATTTAACTGAACGTAGGTCATAAATATTCAGGAAAAAATGCATCCATGCTAAACAAATACAGACTTTTTCCCTTTGTGTTATTCCCCACACAATACAGTATAACAACTATTTATACTGCATTTATATTATATTAAGTATCATAAGTAATCTAGAGATTATTTAAAATATATAAGATGATATGCATAAGTTATATTCAAATACCACACCATTTTACATCAGGACTTGAGTATCCACAGGTTTTGATACCTACAGGAGGTCCTACAACCAATCCCCTATGCATACTGAGTGATGATTGTATGTCAAATGTGTTTAAATCCATGAAGTCATAATAATCCTATTTTTTTAAAGTGGGTCTTATTTAAAGGTGTAATTTACCAATTCATTATTTTCAAAATTGGTAGAGAGACATAATTAAGCATTTATCCCATTTTTCCTATATTAATAATGCCTTAGAATAACTAGTTGTTGAGAAAACATGAAAGAAACAGTCTAGCTACTAAACAAATAATAAATGATAAAATCAAAATAGCACTGTTTTGAAAATACTAATGAAACAATAGATCTAGAAAATGATAGTCAAAGGCTGCTAACAACTCAAAAGGAGAAACAACCACATATCATGTGTTTCCTACTAGAACAACACAACACATGTGAAGTAGTCTCGTCAAGAAAAAAAAAGGTAAGAAAAAAACATACAGAGGATCAAACTTCTAGATACAACTACCAATTAACAGGAAATAATCGAAACAGAGAAACAAGTTAAAAGGCAATCAGCAAATTCCAGAATGCAGTACACTCTCCTGACCTGTTTTATCAATAAACTACAAGAGAGAGAGAAAGAGAGAGTGAATTATAGATTCAGAGAGATTTAAGAAACATGCAATAGGAGGAATGTTTGTGTCCCTCCAAAATGCATGTGTTGAAGTCCTAACCCCTAAGGTTATGGTATTAGGAAGTGGGGTCTTTGGAAGATAATTAGATCATGAGAGTGCAGCTCTTATGAATGGGATCAGTGCCCCGATAAAAGGGACCTTGAAGAGCTCTCTCATTCTTTTCTGCCATGTGAGGATATAACAAGGTGACAATATGACAGTCTGTAACTTGGAAGAGGGCCTTAAACAGAACCAGACCATGCTGACACCACGATCTCAGACTTCCAACCTTCGAAACGGTGAGAAATAAATTTCTGTTGTTTACGTCACCCAGACCATGGTACTTTCTTACAGCAGCCTGAACTAACAAAACCAATTATAATATGTGGACTTCATTATAATTCTGATTTCAACTAGTAAACTGCGTGGGGAGGAATTAGGAGGCAATGAGAAATATTTGAATGCTAACTGGATATTTAAGGTAAGGAATTATTTTATGTTGTTTTAGGTGGGAAAATGGTATGGTTATGTTTTTATTTTTTTAAATGCTTACCTTTTATACAGTGATCTGAAATATTTACAGTTGAAATGACTAAATGTCTGGGATTTTTTTTCAAAATAATTTGAGTGCAGAGGAAACTGGAAGGGTTGTAGATGAAACCTGGAAGTGGATGTACCTCTCTACTTTTGGAGATGCTGATAATTTTCCATATAAAAGTTCTGAAAACAGAAAATAAAATGCTCACATTGTGAGGCTAAGGTCAAAAGAAATCAGAAATGCATGAGAATTTCCAAATCCAGGGTTATTTAAGAACAACATAGAGGAAAAAATTTCTGGTTTAAGTTGCAAAAATGTGTTTCTTTTATACAATATACTAACAAATCATAATTAACTGAAAAATGTAACACTTTATATGTAAAGGGGAGAAAACTACTCCACCAAAGATGCCGCATTCATTTAGAGATCAAAGAAATGTGTCTGCCAGGCAACCAAGGGCTCATGGAAAGCTGTGGTTTGTGTACAAATGCTATTTGTCTAATATTTTGTGCGTTAATGACTGTCCCATTAGCATCTTCACTACACTTATTTTCATAGAAAGGAGAAACATGATTTATAGAGCCCTTTAGTGACAAGGGTGAGGATCCTATACATTATGTTGCTGGTTTCCTAGTCTTCAGCAAGAAAGTGTAGGAGAGAAGCAAAAAAAGTCCTGTTTCAACCCCTGCTCCTGGATGTGACAAGGAAGAGGAGTTACCCAGCTTGAAACAAAAGAAATCCTAAGTCTGACACACAATGTCATGTTTAAATTCCCCTTTCTCCAAAATGTAAAATAAATGTGCTTCCATCTTCTAAAATACTATGGGACTAAACAACCTTTTGTAATGCTAAGGAAATGCCAGTATTCTCATTGATTTAGGAGAGGGATGTTCTGGTCATAGAAAGATGCTGTGTCTCAGAAACACTTAAATACTCTTAAGCTAGAAATAGAGGGGAAAAGAATGCCTCCCTGCATCTCCCCTCAACTGAAGTCCTCCTTTCTTAGCCTGATTTCCGATGAAATGTCTGAATGCCTACAGTTATTTGGCCATCCTCAAAAGTGCAACTTATCCTGACGTCTCAAGGGACGAAAAAGTTACCGAAGTCCAAGGAATGAGTCACTTTGCTCAAATTTGATGAGTAATCTCAGGTGTCATGAAACCCAGTTTCAAAGGAGAGGGGAGGGGGCGTCAGATCTGCAGACGGAAGCAGGCCGCTCCCGATTGGATGGCGAGACCTCGATTTTCCTAAAATTGCGTCATTTAGAACCCAATTGGGTCCAGATGTTATGGGCATCGACGAGTTACCGTCTCGGAAACTCTCAATCACGCAAGCGAAAGGAGAGGAGGCGGCTAATTAAATATTGAGCAGAAAGTCGCGTGGGGAGAATGTCACGTGGGTTTGGAGGCTCGAGGAGGCTGGGATAAATACCGCAAGGCACTCAGCAGGCGAAAGAGCGCGCTCGGACCTCCTCCTTCCCGCAGCCACCGAGAGTGCGGAGCGACCAGCGTGCACTCGGAGGAACCAGAGGAACCCAGCACCCCGCGGGACTGTCAGTCGCAGTAAGTACCCGCGCAGTGCCGGCCGCGGCTGCCCGGGTCACTCCACCCCGCATCTGTCCGAGGTGGCCGCGCTGGGTGCGCCGCTGCGGCGAGGGACAGTGGGGAGACTGGCTTCCCAAACGCCAACGCCCCTCTTTGTCTTCCACCTGCAGAGTTTCCTGGTTTGAAGGTGTGGGTTGGTGGGTTAGAGGGCTGAGGGAGTTGGGATTCAGGGAGAAGAGGGTTGGAGAATCTTTGGGACGCGATTCTCTCGCCTAACGGGTGCAGGTGAGACTTTAGTCCTTGTATTTTTGATCTTAGTTCATCCGTTGTGGGGCAGAAAATTCTGTTGCTCTAACTCTTGGATAACCACCCCTAATAGATATATTATTTCTCTCTTTGGTCTCTTCTCCCACTACCCCTTCCCAGAAATTCAACATGAAAATCCTCGTGGCCTTGGCAGTCTTTTTTCTCGTCTCCACTCAGCTGTTTGCAGAAGAAATAGGAGCCAATGACGATCTGAATTACTGGTCCGACTGGTCCGACAGCGACCAGATCAAGGTGAGGCCCCTTCCCAGGACAGCCCGCACCCTTCTTCCTGGGCTCGGGAGCTGTCACCTTCCCACGCAGCAGCACCCTAGTTAACGTGGCAGGCACCGCGACCACGACGAGAGGCAGCGGATGCGTGCGGGAGGATGGAAAGGGGCGCTATTTCCCGGGTTCCTCACGGGATTTTGTGCCCACGATTCAAGTTTCTTCCCGAGGGCTGCACCGTCCAGCCCAGGAACTCCCTGCAGCAGGGATGCCCTCCCGGATGAGCCCGAGATCCCCACAAGATCATAAATCTCGTAAGCTTTCCTCCCCCAGGAATGGGGATTTCGGGGGCTCCGGTCCAGCTGCACTGCCCTAGCGTCTGGGCACGGGCAGAGGGCGCCTTGGTCGCGGGCAGCAGCGGGCACACGCGTGAGCTGCAGGGGGATTGGAGGGCCGGAGGCTGGAGGGAAGTTAATTTCCTGCCTTCACGTTTGTTTTGCGGACCTGAGGATGTAGCTTGAAGTTTCCCTTTAGAAACTCGTAGGCTACTGGCGCTGGGGAGCGCGCCTCGGGAAAAGGGTGAAAGTCGTCTATAAAACGTTGTCACCCTTTCCCACCGCAGCCCCAGCCCCAGATCACACACACCTGTGTGCATTTAGGGTGGTGAGGAGTCTACAAAGCCGACACCGAGACAAGACAAAGTCAGGTGGCGGCGCGGCAGATGAGGGAAGGTCCCCGGGCTGGGAGGAAAGAACGGAAAGCGCTCGAGGCTTGAAGACGCCGAGCCAGCTGCTAACTCGCCCTGGCAGGCTTGCGGGGGACGGGACGCGGGTTCGGCGAGGAGGGGCGCAGAGAGGGAGCGCCTCGGGAGGTACCCCGCTCAGCCCGAGCGTGGGGAAGGCTGCCTCCGCCCGCCTCGGGGCCGGAGTACAGCGGGAAGGGCTCGGGTTGCTGGGTGCCTCGCTCCGGTTGCCTTACACGCCCTTTGTCCGTGCTTTTGCCCCCCAGGAGGAACTGCCTGAGCCCTTTGAGCATCTTCTGCAGAGAATCGCCCGGAGACCCAAGCCTCAGCAGTTCTTTGGATTAATGGGCAAACGGGATGCTGGTGAGATGGGCGACCGTCCCTAGGTGTCTTGGGCAGCCCGCCCTGTCTGCTCTCTCCTTCTCGGAGTACCCCAGGGTCTCTCGCTCTGAATAAAGATTTCCACTCCAACAGGGGTGTAACCCAGGCGCGACATTGGCCCACACCGCACTAAGGCGCGCACGGGCCCGCAGGGGGAGGGAAAGATCTGGTTCGCATGCCTTACTGTGTTCGAGTGAAGCGCTCCCTTGACTAAAGATCCAAACTGACAAAGGGAAGACACGGGCCTCCAGGGGTAGTACTGCGGTTGATTCAAGTGCATGTGGAACAGGATTTTGTAGCATTCCCTGACATGAGAGTAGATTTGTCTTGGGATAGAAATATTGTTTCCTTGAATTTATCGCACCGTCAGTGGAACATGTAATGACAATTCGTCTCTTGTCAGATTCCTCAATTGAAAAACAAGTGGCCCTGTTAAAGGCTCTTTATGGTAAACATTCCTATAAATCTTTATTTTACTATTGTGTAAAGCACATGTAGGAAAGTGAAATAAAATCTTTTATGGGCTGAAATACAAGATCTAGATGATGCCTGTTTAATAAAGAGATGTATTTGCATACTCTCTCTCGATCTCTGTCACTCCCTTGCTGTCACTCTCTCGCTGTCACTCTCTCTGTGTCTCTCTCTGTCTCTCTCTGCCACTCTCTCTCTCTTTCTCTCTCTCTCTCAATGGGTGGCCAGTCTTGAAGGTGGGAAATACTACAGTCTTATAGTCAATAAGAGGTCTCAAAAGTCTCATAGTCCTAGGTTTGAATCCCATAGAAGGCACTTAATAAAAATTCCATTTGTTTGTTTAAATATTTAGTTTTTATTATTAATAAGTTGTTTAGCATTTATGGTTCTGCCTTATTCCTCAGGATAATATATAGACAGAAAATGTTACATATTTTGATAATCAAATTATTTTATAAAAGATATAATGTAGCATCTTTAAAAACAAATGTATATGTGTTTGCTAATTTTATCTTTCTTCTAGGACATGGCCAGATCTCTCACAAAAGTAAGTTCAAAATTGTTTTGACATTTATCAAATTTAAATGTAAAATTATATTGAATTTCACTTTATTTATCTTACCTTGTTTTCTGTCATAACCCTAAGGCTTAATATGTTTAATGAAGACAATATAAGAATGGGGGAGATTCGTATTACATCCAGAATATGGTTGTTTAAACCTGTGTTGTTTAGACATATTGTACTTAGCAAAGAGGTGCATTATATTAAAAAAGAAAAAAGAAGTCTTTTAAGTCCCTTAAATTGTTAGTTTTAGATAAGAATTTCAATCCTAGGATTAGAAATCTACCATACACATTTCTTCCCACCCACCCACCCCCTAAGCTTACTTTCACTGTAAACAAACAAACAAACAAACACAAAACCCCCACAAGCATTTATAGACATCTTCTAACTCATTTTAGTATGCTTGGTCCAATAATGATGTCATTTATTAGGGTCATCCAGCAGCCAATTAAATGGAATGAGTGAGTGAATATGAGTAGAGAATCCACACTAAAAATGAAGATGGGTAGAGATGCAGTTTTTTAATCCCCTAATTGAATGGGAAAACTTGATCAGTAAAATATTTCTTAGGGCAGCAAAGATGGCAAAATTGTGGTACGTGAAGGTCATTAGATTTGTTTCTCAGTTAATGGAACCAGAGTTGACAAGAAGTGGCAAGGGTCTATCTTCATCATATTGTTCACTCACGTACCCTGTCGTGAATTTGGTGCATTGGGTGGCAGAGCAGGCCGCGTTAACGTAGCAGCTGTATTCTCAACCATTGAAATAAAAACCAAGAGAAATTCTGTCACTGGCATTAAACTAGTAACCTTTCCGAAGAGTTCATCTTTGAAAAATAAATAAATAGTATTCATATTTACTTTCTAAGGATTTGACTTTGAAGGGAATTATATATAAAAATTCTATGTAATAAAAAATGTACTCTATTCATGTCAAAACTAATACACTTTTCTGAAAGGAGTATCTTTTAATATCCAATAAAGTAAAAACAGTGACCTTTTAGAAGATTATAATCATCAAGGAATCTGATTTTAATTAAGGTCTACTTGCTGAGAAGTACAACTTATTAATAACACCAGGAAATACGCTTGGATATTTCACTCTCACACAAATGTGAAATTGACTTCCTAAGAAATCAAAGCTAGCTCAAATGACAATATTTTATATAAAATATATTTTAGAACCTTACATAATAGATAAAATATAATATGAATAAAGAGTGCTTGCTAATATTAAATATAGAATTGAGAAAAGTACTTTCATTGTATTGTGTTAGTGTAATCTATAAAACTTTTAAGGAATCTTTATTTCTTCAGTCTCACCAAAACTTTAAGTAGAAAGATATTTATTATACAGACATATATTCAGAAGCTTGCTTTGTTCTAGTTATAATAGTTTGTTTCCTCAAAGATATACATATTAAAATACCCCTAAATGTATTTTTCCAGGGCATAAAACAGATTCCTTTGTTGGACTAATGGGCAAAAGAGCTTTAAATTCTGGTATGTATGAAATCATGACTGAAAATAGACAGTATCTCAAATCTATTTCTATTTTTTTCTAAGACACAGTTTTTAAAATATTAAAAAGGAGTAGTAGATACAAAAATGAGTATTATGGTGAAAAAAATTTAATTGTTGTAACCACAAATGGATTTATGGGTAGTTAAGCTAATATTACCACAGTATCTGTCTATTTCTCTCCAATCACCATTCTTACCAGTGTCTGCCCCATTTAATCATTACCCAACCTGAATCTTTGGGTTAGTCCTATATTCTTTCCTGTAGATCTGTTAAATAAGCCTTGTTTAACCTTACTGAACTAAGGGGGAGTGGGGAGTGCAGGGAAGAATGAGGCTAATTTTCACTTATCAAAGTAATTTGAAAGTTTTAAAAGACATTACATCTGGTGATCTTCCAACACAAAAATAAATTCACAAAACAAATTCTTTATACAAATTAATCACTTTTCTGAAGTTGTAGAAATTCAAAATCTAAACATCCTGATGGATGTTGGAGAGGATGTGAGTGACATGGTTTATTCCAGTACTTTCAAAAAGAAACACAATTAAATATCCTTGAGTGTTGTAAATTGGTTCTGGCTATAAACTCCTTAGAGAGAAAGGATGCCACAATTCTCATTTTAATTCTGAACAACTTTTTCATATGATATAAAGGCTGCAGGTTTCCTTCTCTTCAGTTTCCATCTTCTTTGTAAATACCACATATATATATATATATATATATATCTGAAAACCATTATTAGTTAACTCATTCATCACACTGATTTCAAGGTAAATAAACCCTATATCATTTTAATGGAAGAGATCACTTTTTGTTAAGACCTTATAGCTCTTACCTCCAGGGCATCTTGGAAAAGCTATTCAAATTCTATTTTGCCTTCAGTGAAAATAGAATTAAAATACTAAATATGTAATTAATTAGAAAGTAATCAGCAGCTGTCTTACCCATTTATAATATTTCTAGTTTCTAGACAATCTATAAGATGTGCTGGCTTAATTCTTAATTGTCTGGATCCTAGGAAAAATAATTATCCTAGTGTTTTTTAATGGAGATTTTTTCTTTATTGTGAAATGGGTACAACAAATAAAACCACTTTCTGTGGGGCAAAAGTTAAAACCCACGATGCAAAAGAAAAGTTAACGCAATCTGGGCTACAGCAGAAGCCAGAGAATATATTCATATAATTGAAAAGTTCTAAGCACTTCATAATTGACCTTTTGATACATAATTTCTAATAAATTTGGAATTTGTAGTTCCTGGTGTTGAAGTCCGCAGGACAAGCTATCCCAGTGTTTTTACTGGGTCCCCATTTTCTATTTAGACACTACCTTTGCATTTTCTCACCAGTCATTTTGGGCTGCCGAAGGGTAAGTGAAGTGTAAGAAATTATCAATGTGCCTTAATGAAAAACTTGTAATTGTTTTATTAATATGTATTATCTTCCCACTTTTGGAAATGAAGTATAAATTTAAACCACAATGGCTTTTATTTGTATCAGTACATACTAGTCCTCACTTAACTGTAGTTTTCTTGATAATCATATTAGTCATCAACTTTCCATTTCCAGAACTGATATAGGTTTCAGAACATGCTTAACGTTACAAATAATGTAGATATTGTACAAGTTAGAACAGATTAAATACTATTAAATGTACTTAAAATAATAACATGATTGTAAGTAGTGATAAATAGAATCACTGTAATGAATCAGGATCAATTTATAACTAAATCTTTGTTCCTCCATTTTAGTTAAGAAAATATAAATAGGTGAAAAATGGGCAAACATGTGATCTGATCCACAGTCAATCAGGGATGTTTTTATATACCTCATTGAGGCAAGGTTATCATAGCTTTAATCTACAGCCATCTGATCTTTACCCACTCATGGTCAGGGACCCCTTTGACAATCTGATAAATCTAGATAGATGCCCTTTCCCAGAGAAAACCTCATCAACTCATGCACTCAAAAATTTATATCAGGCTTCAGAGGGTTCAAAGACCAGGTAAGAAACTCTGCTTCCATGTAAGAGGACATTATGTTCCAGCTAAATCACTGTCTGTCTTTAGTTGGTTTACATTAGCTTTCATCTAATTTCTCTGAGGAACAGAGTCATGTTACCTAAAGCTTGTCAGAGACTGAACTTGGGCTATTCATCCTGTTCCTAATATAATCAAACCAGAATGAGAAATAAACTGTTTCCTTCCCTTAAGCCTGTCCAGTGTTGGCTCAGACTATTCTGCCTCACAAGTGCATACTTAATTGATATAAAATATGCAGCTTACTGTTAACCGCACTCAAAGGATAGTTGGGTGTTTAAGACCAGTATTAAAAGCAGGAAGTGATAACACTGGTGCCTTTACCTGCCTTCTCTGTCAACAAACCTTCTCACTGAGGAAACTGTTTAGAGTAGCACCTATTATTCCTACAGATCCTTCACAGATCTTTCCGCTGTTTTTGTTTACATTCAGTATTTTATACAGGCCATACTGAATTTCAAAAAGCATAGTAGTTTCACTATACCATATGTCTAAGTCTATAAGGTATTAGTTAAGATGATGAAAAATATCCCAAAATATCTTGATCACAACAGTCTGATTTTTACCCCTTTGCAGTTACAGATCCCTTTGAAATTATATATAATATAATATAACATATAATTTTGGCATTTTTTTGTCCAGATAATAAATGTATTTAAGTTATTTGCTAGCTATATGTTAAATACCTTTGGAAGCAATAATTAACCCTTCACAGACCATTAAGGTGCTAGTGAAAAGTTAAACAGTATGGTATTTAGATGGCTCAACTGACTTACCTACGGTAAATGGGCTGTTTTTAGTCTTGAGGGCAATCCATCACTGGGAGGTATCCACAAGTGAGGAAGAGACCCCCACACAATTAGATGCCCCTTGAGCAGAGATCAGCAAACTTTTCCTGAAAAGAAACAGATTAGAAATATTTTAGGCTTTGTGAGCCATGTAGTCTCTGTTGCAACTACCCAAATCTGTTCTTTTAGGCCAAAGCAGCCATAGACAATATGTAAATGAATGAGTGTGTCTGTATTCCTGTAAACCCATTTATAAGAACAAATGGTTATTTTAGGCATTGTCCTTTCTATAATTCACTGTGGGTATCTGCCACTGCTTGAGAAAGCTGCTGAGAATCAACACTGCAATATATTGTGGAAATATGCTTTGGGGGCACAAAGTATATGATAAATGATGAAAGAAACTGAGTTCTGTGGTCAGATCATTTCCCATCAGGATAGAGACTGAGGCAGGATTGGAAGATATGCAAATTACATTCTTAGAAATACTTCTGTAAGGGAAAATGTCATTAGGAGTTTAGAATAAATTACTATATGCCCTGAACTTTAGTTGTGTAACTCCCTCAGTGAATTCACTTACAAAACATTTTATCTCCTCTTTGTTTTCAGTGGCTTATGAAAGGAGTGCAATGCAGAATTATGAAAGAAGACGTTAATAAACTACCTGACGTTATTTATTCAGCTTCATTTGTGTCAATGGGCAAGGAAAGGTAAAATAAGACATGCACTATGAGGAATAATTATTTATTTAATAACAGTTGTTTGGGGTTGACATTTCAAAAAGTGTTTATTTTTCATATTGTGCTAATATGTGTTGTAAACATGTTTTAATTCCAATATGACTCCCTTAAAATAAAAATAAGTGGTTATTTCTCAACAAAGCACAGTGTTCAATGAAATTGTAAAACCTGTCAATGATACAGTCCCTAAAGAAAAAAATCATTGCTTTGAAGCAGTCGTGTCAGCTACTGCGGAAACGGCGGGAAACTCCTGACAGTCTTGTGCTTTTCCTATTTGTTTCCATGGTGAAAATGTACTGAGATTTTGGTATTACACTATATTTGTATCTCTGAAGCATGTTTCATGTTTTGTGACTATATAGAGATGTTTTTAAAAGTTTTAATGTGATTCTAAAGTCTTCATTTCATTGTACGATGTGTTGTGATAGTTAACATTTTAAATAAAAGAAAAAATATCTTGAAGATTTTTGTCACATTCTTTTATTAACATTTGTGTCCAATTAGCAATCTTTCCTTTAATAGGTGAAATATGTTCAAAGCAATTTTGTCTAAAATGCAGTTTTTCTCTCTCTGTCATGCACTTTTTTTTTTTTGCTAAATCATTTGTCATGAGATCATTTATGAAGAACACAACTGCATTTTGGATTCCAAAGAGTAAAGGCTAAGTTCTGGTTTTATATGCTTTTGATTCCTTTTTACAAATAGGATAATAATCTATTTCAAAGATATATTTCACTGATTATTTTCTTGTTGAGTAAAACATCAGCTCACTACCATTTCAGCCCTGCTCAGAGCCCAGGTATAAATGCATCAGTGCCTGAGTCTCACTAGAATAAAGATAGCAAATCAAATTCTCACAAAGATTGTTGGAAGATGATACAGAAAGATGAGGTGTTGATAATAGGGCAACACCCTCACAGCAAAAATAACCCCTTTCCAGCATTTCTAAGAAGTGCCTGTGAATTGCTAATACCTATAACACTCTGTCTGACAGAAGCACATGCATCAGGAATAAATACCGAGCATTGAGAGGGAGGCTTGTGCATTTTGATTGATAAATGTCCTTGGAATCATTTTCTGATTGCACAGAGTATGTGAAGTATTGACCAGCAGAAAAACAATGCAGACAAGCACTGTTCAGTGAAGTAAAAAACATGAATGTAGCCTGGACTGGTGACTGTTGGTGAGCAACCATTTGAAGGAGAGAAGAGCTAAAGCATATTTTAACATTTATGTTTTCAATTAAATATTTTTTTTAAAAAACTCCAACTCATATTCCTTAGTACACAATACATCTAAATATGAAATTATATAATGGTAAGCAAAATGGAGAAAACCAGAGTCATCCCCTAGAGTCCCACTTCCCAACAGCAATGTTTAACATTCCATTGAATAATAATTATAATAAATAATCATTAGCTAAAATTATATATGTACTTAATCACTCAATGACAGAAATATCATTATTATCATTTTACAGATGGGGTTATGAAGCTTAACGAAATGCTGGGGTCAGAGATTATAATATAATAGGAGTCAGGATTGGAAATAAACTGAGGGGGAAATAGAGCAAATCACTATCTAACAATGAAATTGATTAAGCAAACATATACTAAAACAACAGAATATACAGTCATTTAAAGTGGCATCATGGTGTATTTAATAATGTGGAACAACATATATGGTATGTTGTTAGACATAAAGCAGTATTTGTTATATATATTTACATATATATCTAGCTTTTCTGCATAGCTGTTGCAACAAGAGGAACAATTTTAGTGGATAAGCACATGGGACTCAGTGTCATACCACTCAGGTTTGAATCTTGGCTCTATCACATTACGAATGGCCTTGTAAAGATGGGCGAGTCCCTTAACTTTTCTTTGCCTTATTTTCCTCATCCGTAAAATTAGAATAACACTAGTACTTACTACATGGCATTCAGCTGATGCATTGTAAAGCTTTGAACACAATCTTTCACACACAGCAAACATCCAGTGAATGTTACCTGTTCCCATTGGAAGCTGCTGTTCAAAATGCCACTGTGAAAATTAGTTCTATATTTTAACCATAAAACATTTTTATAGGCACTAGACACACTGAACAAGCAACAGCATGGGGTGGTATTTAAATCTTTGCCTCACAAATTAAATCCAGGCTATATCACAAATTCGCGGTGCTTTGCGCTGTTCATTGCCGCACTAGGTAGTCCCCATGGCCCCTTCCCACTCTGAAATTCTATAAATCCCTGTGGTATGATCCCACAGTGCCGCATCAAGACATGCATTGGCGAACCTTCACTCATGCCTGCTTTCCCACTAGGCCCAGAAACCCAGTGGCAACACAAATAGGAAAAGGGACAGAAACTTCAGTTTAAATTTCTGCTCAAAACATTTATTATTACTTTCTCTTTGTGCCATATTTCCTTTAAAGTAAGTTTTCTTCACCTATATTCTTTCTTAAGTATTTTATTCTGTTATGAAACAGCAAAAAGACCAAACTACCTAAAGTTACCTATATACATTATTGCTTTGGTTTTTGTTTATTTTGGTTTTATTTCCGTATTGGTCTGGGCCCAGGATAAAAATAAATGATTTTCAAGTTAATTTGAGATGGGGTTAATAAAGGGACCAGTTACAAAGTTATGGGCAGCATATAGAGAAGCTGGTAATGGTATATGGTTCTACATGCTATGTCCTTGGGAGCAACAGCTACCCCTAAGCCAAAAGGATCAACTTGAGGAAATGAGAGTCCTTATATGCAAAAGGCTGCTTGATGGCAGTGGTCTTCAGTAAAAGAGTGGAGCCAAAACAAGGTGTTCAAGTATGGGTGGGAGGAGGAGAGTGGGGTGGCCAGGGAATAAATATCCCATCCTCATTGCCACCCAGCTGTCTGATCTCCTGTTGGTACCTCCCACTGGGCAAACCCAACTGGAAAACAGAAGAGTAGGAGCCCTTGAATGCTGTCTACACAGGTAAGCAGCACATACAGGGCTCTTGCGCATATGGAGAAAGCTGGCAGGTGCATTGGTGGGGTGGGGCAGGGGAGGAAGAAGGAAGATATTCAACACGTGTGCCCTGTTGTCTTGAATCGAAGAGAAATTAATAAGCAGAAATCCAAATAAAAGAAAGCATACAGTAACAAGAAAAGTCCTTCTCTATATCCCCAGGGATATAGTTTCACATGAATCCATCCAGACAGACAAAAATAAGAGTATCTTGTCTCAATTTGAGCATGTGCTGAAATCTCTTCTTCTAACACAAAATAATTATGAATGATTTTTAAGGAAGTTAGTATGTTGGGATTTGTGCAAAACACAGGAAAGATTTTTATTATATCAGAAATTATGTAAATCCCCAGAAAAGAAGCAGAACGGAAGCCACAACAGTAAGTCATAGTCCTAGCAGGAAATTGCAGAGGCTACGGGGGAAGGTGCCAACCCCAGAATAAGGAATTGACCACTGCAGACAACAGACTTGCTAGCAATACTGGATAAGTATTGCAGCCATGAGATAAAGGGACAAAATATTCAAAACTCTTAAGGAAAACAGTGTTCAACCAAACTATCACTTAACAGTGAGGATGAATTTGTGGAAGAAGAAAAGCCAACTAAGAGCTGTTAGCTTAAGCCTTATTAAAACCATTGCAACATGAGAATAGCTCAAAATAGCTGTTCTGCTGAAGAGCAGGTAGTCTAAGGAATTTATATGTTAGATGAGCCAGGTGCAGCAGCTCATGCCTATAATCCCAGTGCTTCGGGAGGCTGAGACGGGAGGACTACTTGAGGCCAAGAGTTTAAAACCAGCCTGATCTTAGAAAAGCAGGACCCCATTTCTACAAAAAACATAAATGAAACATTAGCTGGGCATGGTGGCACATGCCTGTAGTCCTAGCTATTCAGGGAGCGAGGTGGGAGAATAATTTGAGCCCAGGAGTTTGAGGTTAAGGTGAGCTGTGGTCGTGCTACCATATTTGAGTCTGGGTAACAGAGCAAGACCCTGTTTCTGAAAACAAATGAACAACAACAAAACATATGAATTTACATGTTAGGTTGATGAAGGTCAGTCAATATTTCACTGTATCTTGAAAATTGTCCACTGTTCCAATACAGAGAAGGTATGGGGCTGTATTAATAATGAAACAGGATTCAGGTCCTGCAAGACTGAAGATAAGCTTCTACCAGCTGTTATCCAATTTGGGTCTGGCAGGAAAAGTAAGGAGAAAGAGGTGCTGGCCCAGATCTTACTAGGGTCAGTGAAATAAATTCAGTCATTCACCTTCTTTCACTAATTAAGGGCATTTTCACACATCTAAAACCTCAGAAAGTTTATGCCCACCTTCTTTGAAAAAATTACTAAGGACATATTTCAGCAAGAAAAAAACTAAATCTGGGAGGAAATAATTATAAGAAATATGGTGAGCAAAGTAATTATTTTAAAAATATTGCTAAATTGAAGGGTTATGTATATGTATGTGTGTTAAATAAACAATATAGAAGTAAAATCTGATAAGATGTCAACATGGGAGTTAGCTAGGGGAGAAGGAAGGACAGTATAAAAGGAAATGAATACATGCTAAATTTATTGTGTTACTGAGGAGGCTAGGACATAACCCAGACTTTTTTTTCAAAGAATGTGTAAGTTTCTGTGAGTGAGTTAAAAATATACACAGGTTAAAACTAAAAGAATAGATGAATAAGTAACTATCAAAACAGAAGAAGGAAAATGTTGCAAAGCACAATCTAATCAACAGAAGGAAAGAAAGTTTTTAAAAATCTTGGTTAAAAAGACTAACTAGGCCGGGCACTGTGGCTCACGCCTGTAATCCCAGCACTTTGGGAGACCGAGGTGGGCGGATCACCTGAGGTCAGGAGTTCAAGACCAGCCTGGCCAACATAGTGAAACCCCGTCTCTAGTAAAAATACAAAATTAGCCGGGGTGTGGTGGTGGGTGCCTGTACTTCCAGCTACTTCGGAGGCTGAGACAGGAGAATTGCTTGAACCCGGGAGGCAGAGGTTGCAGTGAGCTGAGATCATGCCACTGCACTCTAGCCTGGGCAGAAAGAGCAAAACTCCATTTCAAAAAAGCAAACAAACAAACAAAACAAAACCTAACTAAACATTAATATTTGCATAAATATGAGTAGCTTTATTAGACCTACTAAAAGACAGAGATTTCAGGTTGCTAAAAAGATTTAAAAATGTAGCTATTTATTATTTACCAAAAGACAAACCTGAAAAAAAATAGAAAAGTGTTAAAAAATAAAGGGATATTTTAAAAATCTGCCAAATACTAACATAATGATTATATAGCAATTTTACTGTCATATGAGTCCGTAAAAAATTTTCCTGGTAAAAATTCCAGGAAATCAAAAATGATTATGAATATCGATAAAAGGAATAATCTACTAAGAACACATAACAGCTTCAAACCTTTATGAATATGAAGTTAATTCAAAATATA